GACCATCAATTGTATCTTCTTTAATTCAACTTTTATAAAGAATTGGTGCTATAGGGATAATACGTAAAGATTCTTTAATACAAGCTTCAGTATAAGTCATTTTTAATAATATCATCGTAGTTATGGGACGAGCTCTATCATTACAAAAGATTCGATCTATTTCTTCATAAATTGCTACAGGATTCAAGCAAAGAAAGGATATTGTGAAGCATAACGTGGAGCCTGCCTTTTATCATTATGTTAGATTATTTTTTTTATAGCTATATAAAATAATTATTCAATATTATAAAATATCTAATTTCTTACAGGATTAACACCTCCAGTTATTGATTCGAGCATAAGCTGCATGATCTCGTCATCAACCATAGGTATATTTTCTTTATTAATTCGCATACTCCTTTCTGCATTAACACATATAAACAATGTTAAGATATCTGAACTTAATATTTCGTCTTTTGGGTATTTCAATTTCTTTTCTTCTGTCTCTTACGCTAGTTAAATATTTATCTAACCATTCTATGTTCTTTAAATATTTCAATTGATGAAAATTAAAAGGAGTACGTAACTTCTAATTAATTTGGAATGAAAAAAAGAAACGATTGCTTTTTTGCCAAAGGTGAATTCGACTAATTAATTCTTCTGATTGTCGAAGTTCATTCTCAAGGTAAGAAGTTTTGCAAGCCTTGTGAATGTATGAATGATTAAATAATTCTCAAACTTGTAAATCCATTTTGAGAGATCAAATTCATTTCCTGAAACCATCCAGTATCCATCCAATTCATTAAAAAATTTTGAACAAATTGACTTAAGAATGAATATATCATAATACTTTGAGTTACCATCGTTCTATTATATTTCCATGAATTTAAATTTGTATTAAGTCCGATCTCTTTGTTAGTTACTCTCATTTCATTAACCCACGATTCCTTAGCACGAATTGGAAAGTTTGATTTTGATGATGGTCATTAATTTTCTTAATAAGTTTTGCATCTCCTAACCAAATTTTACGTTCTGAACCTATAAATACTTCAAACATTTCACCGTATTTTGCTTGAAGGTTAAAAAATACATTATCAATTTCTCCATTAAATAGATGAAGATTACCTAATGAACAATGAATTAATAAATATATATTATAAAACTTCAA